TAACAAGACCACAGTGGAAATTCTTAAACATTTTGAAGGCACAGTACTAAGAACATTGCACAAATTATCCCATTTAGTTCTTACATCAACCTTAAGAGTTAAGTTCAATTTTTTGTTGTTTTTGAAACAAGGTCTCAATGTGTAGCCCAGGCTGGGCTTGAACTCATGGAAATCCCCCTGCCTTGGCTTCCCAAATGCCAGGAGTACACAGGCATGCACCCCCACACCAGGCTGAGGTAAGTTCAGTTTTACATCCATTTTCTACAGTAGAAAGCCGAAGGAGCTCCAAAAGGTTGTGTGACCATGTCATGCCTCTAGGAAAAGGTGGAATCAAGATTCAGACCCAGGCTGGCCTGTCCTCTTCCTCTGTGACCACTGCACTCCCCTGCCTTCACTAAAGTACAGCAGTAGAGGAGAGGAGAGGGCCACAGAAAGCCATGCAGAATGGAGGCAAAAAAAATAAAATAAAATAAAATAAACCCCTCCAGGGCCCATAAAGTGTTTGATAAATTCCAGGAGAAGAATAGGAAGAAATAATGAGCATTTGTCAGAGCCTTTTATAGCATATAAGATGGTTTCCCTGCATTCTCTCATTTGATCTTCACCACAGGCCTGGGAAGAAGGTATTATCATTATCTACATTTTATTGGTGAGGAAAAGAAGGCTCCCACACCTCCCAGCTTGGGCTGGGCAGCCTGCACACCTAGGGGTACAGTGCTGCAGCGATGAGGTGATCATAATCTCTCCCCAAATTGTCATGGGCTTAAGGGGTAAATCCTGGCATTTCTGTGCTCTCTCTACCCAGAGGGAGAAGGCCAGAGGGGGCCAAATGCCACCTCCTCCAGGGATCCTGAGCAGAGACCTGCTTCTCCCAGGAATCTCACCCTCCTCTCAGCCATCCAGCCCTGGTTCCTTGGGTGGCCCCTGCAAGGCACATATGAGCTTGTTATCTCTACCATCACAAAAAGCATTGGCCAACAATAGCTACCCTGGCAGCATGAAAGTAAAGTCGGGTGCCAGGGTTTGCTTAAGCAAAGGTGTTTTGATGGTCTAAGGTCAGAAAGTATGCAAGGAATGAGACCAGAGCACCTCATACTCTCGCTGCTCCCTGGGCCCCAGCTCATCTGACAGCTCCCTGGTCTTTGAGCATGTGGTTGGCAGAAAGGAGATGCGGTGACACAAATTCAGATACAACATGATGGAGGGTGGACAAGGGGCTTGGGTCTTATACCCAGTCCAGATCTCAAAAGGAGTATCAGGAAATGACTATCTTGTGATTATCTGTCCTCAGTTTGCCAGTCAGGCGTGTTCAGCAAGTGTTACCATCTTTGTTTTTTGTGCCAATTCAGATGTATGGAAAAATATTGTTTCTCACTCACCATACAAAAATGAGAACCCAGATTTTAGATGATCGAATTTTTGAACCCAGTTAATGTGCAGTGGACTCTTGACTTACAAACTTGATTGGTTCCAAGGGTTGGATATATCTCAAGTTGGTTATAAGTCAATACAGCTGAGATCTGGATGTTTATGCTATGGATAACAAGAGGTAGATGAATCTTCCATTAACCTAATTAATCCAAGTTGTTCATATGTTAGGCTGGTTGTAACTTGTGGGTCCTCTCTATACGGTTAGTTTTACAGTTTTTGTGATGAAAAGGGAGCTCCAGAGGACTGTGCTCTAGTAGGACTCATGCATGCTTTGGCTATACATGGAAGCCCTACATGGCAGGTACAGTGCAAGGCTTTGAGAATACAGTGCCAGACACGACAGTATCTGCTGTTGGAGTTTCCAGTGTGGTAGAGGAGGGGACAAGCAAACTTCATGGATGGTACGTGGAAGCTTCTGACCCAGTCAAGGAAAAGCAAAGGATCCTGGGAGGAGATGGCCCCTAGACTGGATCATAAAGGATGCTCAGAGGCAGCCAAGGGAGCAGTTCTGAACTCCTGTTCTGGGACCAGGCAGCCTGAGGTGGAAGCTGAGTTCTGCTACTTCAACCTTGGCAAGTTGCTGGACCTCTTTGTGCCTCAGTTTGCTTATGTGTAAAATAGGGATGATAATAGTAACTTTCCCCATGGGGTGGTGAGAATTAAATGAGTAAATTCATGCAAAGCACTTAGAACAGTGCCTGGCCAATGGTAGATACCTACTACACATCAACTTTCATTGTTTTTACCTTGTAGGTTGTGAAGATATGTAAGATAACATTTGGGAAGCACTTAGCCCAGAATACGTACTCAAATGTAAGCACTATCATTGGTGTTATTAAGTAGGCAGTTGCCATTACTGGCCAGGTGGATGAAAGGAGGATAGGAAAGGAAGCCAGGGTAGAGAGGATAGCATATGGAAAGGCCTAGAGGCCAGAGACGGCCTGGTGGATTTGGGAAAGTCGCAATGTTCAATTAGACTGGCACATAGCCTGGCTTCCAGGAATGCTGCCGGATGGGGCTGGAGAGGCCAAGACTGGGAGAGACGCTGGAGGCACCAGGAGTCATGGCCTCCCTCACCCTGCAGACAGCTCTGCTGAGAGTGGCTAGGCTGCTTAAAACTTGCCTGGGTCAGAGGGGTGACAGGAATGTGAGGAGGGCTGCTCTGTCCCCATCCCCTCCCTGCCCGGTGCCACTGTGTGGAGCCACTGACTGTCAATTAGGCAGCCTCAGTGCAAGAGGCTCTATTTCCTCATGCGAAACATGTCACATCCGGGAATGATCAAAACAGCTTTGCTTTGGCAAAATGTCTTGTGCTGCATGTTTGTTCTTTGGTGTTTTAGAGTAACTCCTGTTGTTCCTGAGACACCTGTGATTTGCTGGTCTCTGACAGCATTTACCTGCTCAAAGTCTCTGCCTGCCACACAACACACCTGGTGATACCCTATTCCTTTCTCTGCCACCCCGCCCCCCCAGAGCATAAATACCTCTCCAAGCCACAGGGGGTGGGACCAGGACTGACTCAGACACAGTTGGCAAGGATGACCAATTTTAGCAATTACCTCTACCATTTGAGAATGCCTACTGTGTGCCAGGGGCTTTGAAGGCTTTGTTTTTAATCTCCCCAACAACCCCACAGTTAGGGTTTATTACTTTTATTTAGCTGAAGTACAATAAGGCTATAGAATGGCCCAGGGCTACATGGTTGAAAAGTGTGAAAGGTGGGATTTGAATCCAGATCTCTGCTACCATAGCTTGTACACTTGCCACTGCCAGGCCTGGTTGCTTCTCTGCAGCTTCCTAGCTCTCCAGCTGCCTGATCCTGAGTGGAGGGGCTTGGGACAGCTGGAATTCAACACAGGCCGCAGGGGAGACTCGTGGGAGTTGGCTCACTAAGTTCCTGGGCTCCCCTCCCCAGAGGAAAGAAACCTTCAGGTGTGCCAGACCCCCACTGACTACTCCCTCCCAAGCCCTCTGGGAGGCTCAGAGCTCACGTAATGGAGCCTTTTCCTGGTTGACCTCCATCACTCCTCAACAAATCTCTCTCTGAGCTCAGTCAAGGTTGCTGTCATTATATGGGAACAAGCACAACCTGTTGACATCTTGAGGGCCCTTCCCTGTCCCTTGTGTCCCTGTTGTCCACATTTGGGACCCCTGAGAGAGTGGGAGCAAAAGGAGATCCAGAGCCTCTCTTACGTGGTAAGTCCCATGAGAGAAGAGTCCTCCTCATTCTCCTTTGTCTTCCTAGTGCCCCCAACCCCAGTAGGTGATCAGAAAATCTGTGCTGAGTAACAATACCCACAGTTGCTATTGTTGGCTAAACTGCACTAAGTCATTTGCATAATCCCATTTAGCTCTGAGAATAACTATATAAAGGAGGGATTATTTTTCCCTACAAATGAAGAAACCGAAGCTCTGAAAGATGGAGCAGTGTGCCACAGACCACAGCTAGGAGGAGTGGAGCTAGGTTTCCACACTGAGCATTGCGTGACCCTAACTAAGCCTGCACTCCTTAACCCCACCCTACTCAGCTCCTTAATGCAATCTGGGATGAACAGAAGAGTCCACTGTGGCCCTCCAGTCAGCTGCACCTGTCTGGCACTCCCCACAACCTCCTAGGATACTGGGGTCCCTGCCCATGTGCCCCCTCCACTGGCCCACAGGCTCAGAGCAAATCTTCTATCAACAGGCTTATTATTTCTAATTTTAAGAGAGAAACCTCAGTTCAAAGCAGTTTTCAATTCCATTCAAGTCAAGGAACAGTTCTCACTTTGCCTCTCTGACCCCCCTACCACACCACCTCCTCCTCCAACTGGCGCCAGTAAGGAAAGATAAATCTTTCCTCAGAAATATAATAGTTGTTCTTCCTCTTCCCGTTGAAGCCTTTGCCAGGTAATTAGCATACGCTGACATCTTGATAGACGAAAAGAAAGGCATGAGATAATTCCCTTTTCCTTTAACCGTTATAGTATGAAGCAGCCTTTCAATTTGCCAGTTACCCAATCCGGCATTCCTGAACGCAGTCCACCGTGTGACATGTTATTCTAGCTGATCCTAACATTTCTGGTATTCAACACCAATGCTGGGTCACACTTGAGAGAGAAGATTCTCCTTCACACGGACTCCTTTCTGGTAGGAGGGGCAGCCAGGGTTCAAATGGTCTGGAAACTGTGCAGATGATGCCCTCATCCTTGGTGGGCGCCCCCAGCTGGTGGCCTGAAGCCTTGCAAGGGCAGCTTTTGTAGCTCCAGGATTATTTTCAATCCTGTCCTTCCCCTCTCCCTTACCTGCTCTCCAAAAGAATCTGGCTTTGACTAGACTCAGGGAGTCCCTGCATTTGGTGCACCAGGAAGCTCAGCTTCTGGTGATTTTTCTCTCTCCTCACCACCACATGCTCTGGGCTCACGACCTGCCACCTTGAGGCTGTGTCCAACTTCTTTGGAAGAACTCGCCCATCCTGGTCATAAATATGCTCATAGGTGTGACTTTCTCCTGGACCTTTTTGGTGGCAAGTAATTTGGGGGAATAAAAAACAATCCTTTCATTTCACAAAACATTTATTAAGTGCCTACTATGTGCTGGGCACTAATCTAGACATAGAAAATACAGAGATGAACAAGATAGGCAAGGGGCCCAGCCTCATGGAGCTTACAATCCAGTCCAGGGAAGTTTACAAAAACATTATTTTGTTGTTGTTGTTGTTGCAATTCTCTACTTTATTTATTTATTTTTTTAAAAACATCATTATTGATAAGCCAGTAGAAGATAATTTCAGATGGTGATATGTGCTTTACAAGAAAACAAAACAAGTGTAGAGAAAGGCAGGGAGTGGGTGAATTATTTTAGACAGGACAGGATTTGAGATACGAACTGATACATGGATGAAGGCGACTGAACCAACCTCAGAAGAGCCAGGAAAAGTGTTTCTCAGAGTGGGAACAGTGGATGCAAGAGCTCAAAAACACCCAGGGTCCGTCCAGCAGCAGGCCCACTTTCTTTGGCGAGATCTGTCTCCCTCTACACAGCTTTAACTTTCTCCAGTACCCTGAGAGTGGGGCAGGGTGAAACAAGCAGCTTGTTCATTCATGTGGTGAGTAGAGAAATAGCTGTCCAGGTCTCCCAGACAGCCAGACTTCCTAAGGCCAGGAGCCAGGTGTCATGAACTGGAACAGAAATTGGAAACCAGACACACCCTGTCATTCTGGCAATGGCTGCCCAAGAAAATCTCCAGCCCCTGTCGGCCTTCGATCCTTTTCCTGAAGAACAGGCCACTCCAGGCAGGAGGCTCAGCTGCTTCCATCGATCCCCTCCTGGTTTGCCCATGGGCCCCTCTTCTTGGCTGGGACAGGTTCCTGATCCCCCATTCTGGGCCCAGGACTGAGGTGGAGAGTGGGGGTGAGAGCCTCACAGCAGCCTTCACCCATACAGATGTACCTCCTTTTCTCTCCTTCAGCTGAGCAAGGGTAAGGGCTTTCTTAAAAGGAAGCTCAGCAGGAAGAAGAGGGAAGAAGAGAAAGAAAAGAGGCATGCAGAAGCTGGGAAAGGGGTCCACAGAACTGAATCTCCTGACTCTAGAGGAACTGACTTTCTGGGCACTTAACCCCACCCCCATCATGTTTGTGGCTCAAGGCACAGGATGGCTTTGGGACAGCATCGGGCTGAAGATGGGACTGCTAGCTGTCTTTTGGGGGACAGGGGACACCACGCACAGGCTCAGAGCCCAGTTGAGTCTCCTGGAGGCTGCTTGCCAGCAGGGCCTGTCAGAACTCCCAGGTGCCAGCCTCACACAAGAAATCAGAGTGACTTTAAAAAATGTATATATGAATCAGATTATATCTCTTATGATTAAAATTATCCATAATATTCTGATGGGGAAAGAAAGAATGGCCTGAGTCCACTAGTGGACAGTGTGAACTGCTGTTCAGGGAAAGGCTCGCTGCCCCAGGGGCTGGAGCACTTTCGCAAGGCAGCCTCCTGCTCCCAGCCCCTCCAGGGATCAGGTAGCTGTGGAGAAACACCTTGTCCAAGGTCGTGCCACCCGACAGAATCTCCATGTCAGAGACTCATGTGGAGTATGAAGGACTCACCGTCAGCCAACCCAGACAACCCTGAAGGACCATTCTAGCTCTAGAGCTCCCCACAGGTCAGCCCGAGGCTGGTGCTGGGCCTGTACCCAGCCGTCTTCTCTGCCCTTTCCTGCCCCTCCCCCCCTTCCAGGGCATGGAGCCCAAAGGAACACCTGAGTAAACTCCTGCACACAAAAGCAGAAACAAAAGCAAAAGTTCCACTGGCCTCCTCCAGCATTTTGAGTAAATATTATATATGTGTGTGTGTATAAACACACACACATATATATATATTTTTTAATGAGGCCAGCAAGGCCTTGCTTTTCTGCCTTTCTCACCTGGCATCACTGGACCTTTCCCCAACACTTTGTCTAAAATTTCAACTTCACATTGTTCCCTCTTTTTTCTCTTTGGCATTTATCACTATCTAATATATATTCTGTCTCCCCGCTAGAATCTAAGCTCCACAAGGGCAGAGATCTTGCTCTGTTTCGTCCCTGTTATACACCCGAAGCTTACCACAGAGTATGGCACACCACAGGTGCTCAATAGTTGTTCAGTGAATGTTTTGTTGTTGTTCTTTAGAGTACTGGGTATTAAACCCAAGGCCTCACAATGGACTACATCCCCAGCCCTTTTTTATTTTTTATTTTGAGATAGGGCTTCACTAATTTGCCCAGATAGGACTTGAATATGAGATCCTCCTGCCTCGGCCTCCTAGGGTGCTGGAATTACAAGTGTGTGCCACCATGCTGGGCTTTGAGTAAATTACTAAGAGAATTTCCTACCTATATCTATCACCCAGTGCCTGGAACATATAAGGTATGAAATAAAATATTTGTAAAAATAATGAATGGGGAAGTGTCTTCCAGTGGCCTTGATCTAAAAGCCCTTTTACACTAAGGGGCTCCCGTTAGTAGGTGCCCGATAAACCTCTGAGAGTGAGTTTCTGTGTTTCTCACTGTAGCTGGCACCTAGTATGGGCATGAGCAAAACTAACTGCATGCCATAGAGAGGCAGACTCCCACCAGCCACCCTGAGCACTTCTGCCCAGTCACCTGGCAACTGCTTCTGCTTCCCAGCCTGAGAATTTCCAGTCTTCTCCCCTGTGTGGGTGCAGGTGAGGTAGGAGGTGCACAGTGCTCCTCATCGTCCATCCTGTGCCCCAGATTCCCTGCCATGGGCAGAGCTGAAGCCACCCTGCAGCCTCTCTGACCACAGTCCAACCTTTGCCTTGTTCTTACGTCACCCCAGGATCCAGCCAACTGGTCCCCTCCACAAGGCTATGACAGCTCAGGCCACACTGTTCTCTCCTCTTCCTGACCACCCACTGCGTAAACTGACCAAATTGAGCATCCTGGCATTTGCTTCCTCCTAGCTGGCCTCTGGTTAGATTCTGCTGCATATTATCATTTCATCTACTGGCCAGATCTCCCCAAATCATTGTCACCATCATCAATAGTAATAATGCTCCTCTACATCTGGGAGCCACTGGTCACTGTTCAGCAGGTTTCCATCTCTCTCATCTCTGTATCTACACACTTGGCCCAGACGATGAGCAGGACGGGAGTCCTCCCCACTCCACAGATGAGGCCATGCAGGCTCAGAGAGGCTCACACCAGAAACACCCCAAGCCATTTCCCTTTCACCATTTCAGTAATGGACACCACTACCCACCAAGACATGCGAGTCAGAAATGAGGATCTTTCACCTCATGCTTCCATCCACATCCAGGCAGTCCCCAACCATGCAGATGACACCTGAATCTCTCCTCACACAACTCCTCTCCAGCTCTGTGTTCTTTGTCCATGTGAGAAGACCACACTCCTCCCCTGGAAGATTGCAGATCTCCCACCCTGCCTCCACTATGGCCCCACCCTTCTGTACATTGCAGAGTCCAGAGGGGCCCTTCTCTGGTGCATATCCACCCATTCATTCACTCCTTTATTCAAAAAATAGTTATTGAGGGCCGGGGATTTAGCTCAGTGGTTCTGCCACCTGCCTCGCAAGCACAAGGTCCTGAGTTCAATCCCTGGTACCAAAAATAAATAAATAAATAAATAAATAAATAAATAGTTATTGAGAGTCTGCTCTATGTCAGGCACTGCTCTAGGTATTGGGAGGCCAGCAGTGAACCAAATAAAACTATTGTCTTTGTGGAACTTGTATTCCAATGGGGAGGTGAGGCAGCAGTGATAAATGATCAGCTAAATATACAGCATTCAACAATGATGTGAAAAGAAACAAGGCAGAGGAGGAACCAGGGAATGCATAAGCAGGAGATGCGCTTGCTGTGGTATAGCAGGGTTTGGAGGGAAGCCCTTCCCCAAGGGGGTGGCTGAGAGGAGTAAGGGAGCATGGAGCATCAAGTGTAAAATCCTGAGGTGGGATCCTGCTCAGCAAGTTCAAGTTCATGTTTGAGGAAGTCCAGAAACAAGCAAGACTAAAGGAGTAAGAGCAGAGGAAGACATTTCGCAGAAGGCCATGTTACAGGGTCAGTGAGCCACCATAAAAACTTTTGACTTTGATCCTGAATGAGATTTGAAGACATTGGAGGATTTGAGCAGAGGGGAGACTTGACCTACCTTACATTTTAGCAGGATCCCACAATGCTGCATGAGGAATAGACTGTAGGGGGACAAAAGCAAAATCAGGGAGACTCTTGCAGCAGTGCAGGACAGAGACGATGATGGCTTGGACCAGGGTGACAGCTGCAGAAGTGGTAAGAAGTAGTCAGGCGCTTGATGGGTTAGGAAGATGGAGTGACAGCAGTTGCTGATGAACTGCCTGTGGGGTGTGAGAGAGGAGCCAGGCATGACATCCAGGATGATGGAGATTTGATCTCATCCCTCCCTGATCTCCACTGCTCTTAGGTTTGACCAACCCTTTCCCAAGGATTATAAAGTCCTTCCTGATCTGAACCTCCTACTCACCTCTACCCTCCCCATGCCATGGTCTAATCTTCAATAACAGTGAAGAATAAAGCAAAACAGTTATTGAATGCTAATCTCATGGAAGCCTGGGCTAAGTACTTAACAAATGCCATCTCATTCATTCTCAACAATCCAATGAAATGAGTACTGTTAACCATTTTAAAAATATACTCACTTTACAGAAAAGGAAACTGAGGCACAGAGAGGTTAAGTAAGTCAGCCCAGGTCAAAGAGCTAGTAAATAGCAGACCTGGGATTTGAACCCAGACATCCAACCAAAGCTGTTTCTCTAACCACTATGGGAGACTGAAATTCTAGCTCTACAATCAGCCATGATTTCACTCTCTTAATCTCTGTGCCTGCCAAGGGGCAGTTCTACAGGCCTGGAATGTTCTTGCTCCCGTCCCTCCCACACCCCTCAGCCCATCCACATCTTTGTCTGACTAAACTGCCTTTCTCTAGGAAGCCAGGCTGAGTGAGGGCCCTCTGGGTGTCCCACAGCTCTGTGCTTGCTGCATTCCAGCCCTGCCCACCTGTACACAGTCTGTTCACATACACACACCTGACATGAACCCTCTGTGCACAGAAACCAGGTCTATTTGCCTCACAGCTGTATCCATAGAGTGAAGAACAGTGCCTGCCAGAGAGCTAGTGACTGATGATGGGACAAAAATACAGGCATTCTACCTCCTACAGGGATGCCCCTTCTCTCCACCCTCTATTAGATTCCCTGGGCTGTGCTCCTCCACTTTCCCTTCTCACAGCCCCTACACTTGCTCAATACCGAGTAGATAATCACGGGTAGCATCCATTGAGTGCTTGCTTTAAGAAATTTCTGTGCCTTGTCTCATTTAATCCTCCCAACACATCCTGAGATAAATATGATTATTGTGCCCATTTTACAGATGAGGAAACTGAGGCTTTCTGAAATCCAGTAAATTCCCCAGGGTCCGAATGTGATACTGGGATACTAAACAAATAGTAGATGAACTGAACTTGACAGTGGCATTGACCTGTGCTTGCTTTCTCCTCCACAGCACTCGGCACAAAGCCTGGCAGAACAGCGGCTCAACAAGTGAATAAAGCTGCAGTCCGGGCCTGCAGCGGAGAGGAAGGGTGTCTGCTTCTCCATCCTCGCTCCTCCCTCCCTCAAGTTCCTTCTCATTCTTCTCCCCTTCACACCCTTAGTAAAAGCCCTGAGAGTGACCGATTGAAGGGTGTGATTTCCCTGGGAAAGCATCATTTACATGGGAACATTCAAACAGGAACAGAATTCTTCCACGAGGGCAGAAGGCTTCAGAAGACAGCTGTGGGTGGAGGGTTGTTGGGAGAGGAGGTGCGGAGGGATGGGGAACGATCCTTTATTTATTTATTTCCCTCTAGGAGCCTTTACCTTTCATTAAAACAGCCTCTGGATGTAGGTGCAATCAAACATTCATTAGACAAGCAAGGTACATAAAAAAAAAAAACAACTAACGCCCAAACACACCACACACACACACACACACACACACACACACACACACACAGCAATAATCAATCTGCGAAATGAAACCAGTCCTTCAGGCGAGAAAAGCAGACAGCGTTCTTCCGCATAGGGGCCCCCAGGACCCGCGTCCCCGTCCCTCGTGACCGTGGCTCTTGCACAGGCCTCCTGCGTGACCCCCGGGTCCCTTAGGTGACTGCCCCGAGCTGTGACCCCCGGATCTGGCACCAGAGTACGGCAGGCCTGCAAACCCGGCCCCCCACACACTCACACTCCGAGCCCCGCACCCCGCTGGGCTGTCACCAGGGGTCCTTCCTGGTCCTGGGTTTCCCCACAGATCTGAAGCTCGCGGGGTTCTCATCTGCTCCGAAACTCGGCTTTGGGCACTGCTCTAGGGTAGCGGGCACCGCCCGCTGCTCAGGAGAGTGGGGCTGGGGGCGGGTGTCCGGCGACGTTGGCTCACCTTCCTCTCAATCAGGACCGGCTTCCTGGAGGAGAGGATGTCGGCGGAGCCTGGAATGGGGGCAAGGAAGTAGCTTGACAGATGGGGAGTGGGAGGCTCTTCCCAGCATATGGGGGCCGCGTGGGCGGAAGGAGTCCGGGCCAGGTGGGGGGAGGGGGCCCAGGGCCGTGGAGACAGTCCCTGGAGCGGGGACACGCGCTGGAGTGGGGGTGTGAATGGAATGGAGGGGGAGGCAGTAACCCCTCAAAGGTAGGGGCGGGCGAGTGGGGGCGGCTTTGGATGCGCTCACCCCGGAACCTGCTGAAGTCGACGACGCCCCGCGCCTTGCACAAGGGCGCCCCCTGATGGCTCAGCACGTGTCAGACACGGTTTCCATTTTCTTCTAAATGTTTAACAGAATCCTTAACCAGGCGCTTCCTAGAAATTGGCCGTTGGGCCCAGATATCCTTTGGGGGATGTTTCCCTACCCATTTTACAGCTAAGGGAGCAGAGGCCCAGAAAGGTCATACAGCCTGAAGTGGCAAGAGGCAGGATCCCAATCTGTGCATCCATTCATTTAGCATTAAGAAGTCCCTACTGCACGCCTGGGGCTGGGGAAACTGCAGTACATACATGAACAGGTCCCTGGCCTCCCAGGGCTTATAGTCTAGGTAAGGAGACAGAACGCAAGTAAACAAATAAATGAGCAAAATAATTTCAATGCTGCGGAGGAAATAAATCAGGGTGTGGAGCTAGGCAGCAACTGTGCTCTCGGCTTCTCCCAGCCTGCCGCCCCCTCACTCCTCCCTGGGGGACCGGGATTTGTCAGCCTTGGCTTCAAGGCAGGCAACAAAGGAAGGTGGCTCTGGGGGTGGAACTAAGGTGGTGGTGGGGGGTGCAGATTTGCAAGGCCAGAGTCCCTGGCATCCTTGGCACCCGCTCACATGTACCACCACTAGCACCTGCAGCCCCAGGCTTTCCCACTGTGGCCAACCGGCTGAATTATTTTCTCATCTCCACCCGATGAGTTTTTAATCTGTCTTTATACAGCAGCTCGGCTGCCTGTGCTAGGATTATTACCGAGTTCTCTGCGCACTGATTCTGCCTCTCCTGGCTGCTCTGACCAAGTGAGGCTCCGAGATGGTAGCGGGAGGGGTCCCAGCTCTGGAAAAATTACGGGGAGCACCAGAGCTTGCTGTTGACAGAGGCCTGCAGCATTCAGATGCTCAGGATTTCAGGGGTACTGCCCTGGAGGAGGCTATAGTCAAGGCATAGGGGCGTGAGTAGAAGGGACAAAGCCCACAATTTGAGCTCAGGAGATGGGGCTGTTCTGGCAGATTCACGTTACTACCCATTTGGGCAGCTACTCATTCAGGTTACTACCTCTACTCTTAGGGAACAGGTAAAAGGAGGAGGGAGAGGCTGAGATGGCCTGGGACAAGGACAGGTCAGGAGGAAAGGGGTTTGGTCCCAGCTCTGCTGTTTACAAGCTGTATGCCCTTGGGCGATTACTTGGTCTCTTCTGTCTGTGACGCAGGGGTGGTGCTGAGTGAATTCAGTGAGTCAATCAAGGCACTGAGCCTCCACAGTGGACTAGCAGTAATGTCAGCTGTTATTAATATTTCTACCTGTAACCTGGCAATGGGAGGCCTCGCTCAGCTTCCTGGAGAGATCTCTTTCGAAACTGAAATGGACAGAGGTGCCAGGTCCACATGAGTGACTATCATTGTTGATTCCCGGCCAGCTCACCAACGCTAATAAAGGTGTGAGGAGGCGTCAGGCGGACACAGGATACTCAGTCCTGCCCACATTTGGTCAGTGACAGACACAGTCTCAGCAGCTGCTGAGAAATGCAGCTTCGATGTACCTTCCCCTATGTCTCAGCCAGCCTGCTGGTGCAGAATGGGCGACAGAGGCCCCAGTGGGCACTCTTTATCCACCATGCGGCCAATAGATACTTGAGAGTGGCCTCTCAACCGTGTAAACCTGAACATCTTTCACTGCTCTGGACCAAGCCTCCCACACCCTCATGGGGCCTAGGACTGTGTTCCAATCCTGCCTTGGCCTCTCTTGCCTCTGCCTTTATAGGTGTAATTCCTCCTTCCTGGGACAGTTTCCCTTCTAAACTGTAATGCTTTGAGGACAGAGACTGTGTATTGATTCATCAATAGAAGATGATCAGTCAATATTTGTTGAATTGACTCTACCCTAGCCACTGAGGCTGGGGACAGTCTCTTCTCTCCCCTTCTAAAGTTCCCGAACACTCCCTGAAATACATATTTGTGTCTCTCTCTTTCAACAGACTGGAAACTCCTCAGGCCCAGGGCAGCTCCTTCCTGTTTACCGCTCTATCTTCAGTGTCCTCTAGTAGTAGGTGCTCCAGAAAGACTGAATGAATAAACAAACAAGGACAATGCTCCTGGGGCTCCTCATCTCTTTAGTGCCTCCTGCTGACCCTCCACCCCATCTTCTTGTGAATGTTTTCTGGTGTCTCCAGACCAGCTCTTCACTTCACCCCTCCTCTTTCATCTCTTTCCTTCATTCATTCCCAGCCCCTTTCCACCTTGACTGCCCCTCCTGATGAGGAGCAGAGCCATTGCCCCTGCTCTGGCTCCAAGAGCAGGCCCGGCCTTCCCACCCTCCAAACAATGCAGCTCTGGGGCTGCAAACACAGGGAGGCTGCACCCCTCTCTCCTCAGTCAGCAGGCCTAGCAAATGCCAAGTCACTGCCGGCTGGTGCCTGTCTCCAGCTCCTCCAGCTTGAGGAGCCGCCAGGAGCAAAGCAGAAAAGCCACTCCTGGCAGCAGCCAGAATGCCTCTCCCCTGACGCTGAGGGTATCTGGCTCCCTTCATCCAAATCTCACCTCTGCGATGATGCATGGGGATCCAAGGACTGGGACCAGGCCTGAGTGGAGCCACCAGTGCTGTCCCACCTCAGTCCCACCTGCTCACCACACCCTCCACTGCCAAGGGTCACTGGGTGCGTGCTAGCAACTCAGCCTCAGTTTCTCCATGGGTCCTTCTTGCTGAGGAGCTGCTAAGGGTACATTTGCAAGGCTGCACCAAAGCTGCAGTGCCTGTGAATGCTAATAATTAAGCCCCTACAAACTGCCTGTAGATAACCATAATCCCTTGTATTTATATAGCCCTGAGCACATTTCAAGGCATTTTCATATATATTATCTCATATGATCTCCCACAGTAATCCTATTGGGTAGTTCTGGGAAAGGAATTAATGTCCTTATTTTGAAGGGGAGAAAACCAAGACTTCAAGAGGAAAGAATCTTGTCTGAAGTCACACAGCCTCTGGGGACCAGAGCTGGACCCGGGATGCAAGGTCCTGACAGTCTGGCGATCTTAAGCCTGCCCTTTCCCAGGTAGCCATGGAGAGGAGAGAGGCAAGGTGAGGCTTGTGCCAGCCTGGAGGTGGGGATGCGGCCGGCGAATGACCTGGTCAGCTTTGTGGTAACAATGCAATGGAGGCTGTGGGCAGCAGAGACAGGGGACACTGTCCATTTTTGTGCAGGACCTTTCCAGGTGTCTCTGGTGCTAGGCCTCAGAGCCAGCCCTGCAGGCTGTGAGGTGTGGGAGGAAGCCTTCCAGGGCCCCCTTGGCAGAGTTTAGAGGGTGGCCTGGAGGGGATGAGGGTGGAAAGTGAGAGCACCCTCAGCAATGCCCAGTGACATACCCATTTGAGAGCAGGCAGCAGGAAGGGCATTTCAGATTGTGGAAATAGCATCTGCAAAGGTTCAGAGGCAAAGGTGCACATGACCAGCTGGGGAGCTAATGTTTGATGTGGCTGAAGCCAGGGTCTGGGCTAGGTGGGTCCACGCTGCAAAGCAGGACTGAACTTGGAGCTTCATGAGTAAGAGTCTAGGGCTCTGTAGCTGGGACCCCCTAGGTTCAAGTCCTACTAGCTATGCATTTGTGGGCAAATTACTTTATCTCTCTGGTTCTTAGTTTTTCTCATCTGTAAAATGGGATCATTCTGAGGGTTAAACAAAAGACACAAAGCCCTTAGGATAAAATAGATACTCAGTAAATGCAATCTATATTATTATCCCTATTGTTAATACTACCAGTGGGCCCATGGTGGGAACCTCAAGGTGGAATACAATTTAGTAAGAGAGAAATCTCATTTTAAAAAAGTAAAAACAAGTTGCAACGTGCACTTATATGCAATCTCCACATTCACAGAGACGTGTGAAATTTCATCTGGAACTATTTTCTCATAGTGTCAGCCCAACCCAAATCAGATGATGGATGTTGGATGTCACAGGAATGATAGGAGTGTTACAGCACCAGCAGCTGGCTCAAGGCTGGGATCAGGTGCAGGGAAGTGGAGGGGCCTCTCTCGGCCTCCAGAGGATGACAATGCCCAAGTTTCTGAACTGGGATGATAGTCCAGGGCACTTTAGGGACTGGAAACAGCTCTACTTGCACCAGGTAAGATAGGAGATAGAATCAGCCAAGTTTTCTGCAGTGCATGCTCTGAACAGAGTCTGGGCTTGCCATAGAAATTTACAATCTTCCAGTGTTCTCAGCTCATTTCTTAGAATTTGAATTAAGCTTTGGGAATTAAGCGTGTTTTGTTTTTGTTTTTTTGGTGTTAACCACAAGTCACAAAGCTCTAATAGGTCACACAGGACAGGTGAACCAGGACCAAGAAGGCTGTGCTTTAAAGTCCTCCCAATGGGTTCAAATCCCACTTCTGTCTACACAACACAGGCCTCAGGCTACTCACCTGGGTTTTGGTTTCTTCACTTATCCTGAACAATAATCAGGTCCATTTCAAGGGGTGTGTGAAGATGCAAGGAAATCATACACGGAGAGTGGTTGATACAGAGCCCGGTGCATGATCAGGCCTCCAAATCTAGTAATAATCAGCTGGCGCTGATAGGATGAGTTCTTCCTCCTGAAAAGATTGACTGGTTGTGAAGCCTCCCTGGGACTGGCTACTCACGGAGAACACTTGACCAGGAGCCTCCTGCCTGAGATGCCAGATGTCTCCTTATGAAATGAGAGGTGGGAGTCAGGTACTGACAGACCAGTGTGCCTAGCTAGGATCATTGTGCCTAGGAACTCCCCACTATTTGTAAGGAACAAGTTGGGTTTTGGCCCAGCTGTGACAACAGGGAAGGAGGTCAAACCAGCCACAGGGCCAGCTGGTGTGCAGTTGGGTAAGGACGAGAGCTGCATGGGCTGCCCTGGTGATAGGTTTTGGTGGAAGCAGAGAGCAAGGCCAATCATTTTTCTGGCCTTCCGAAATTCAGAAACATGAAGTTTAAAAAAACCGGCACACACAAAGAAATGATTTTTGCAGCTGTTTTGGCATTTAGGGAGTAATTTACCAACGTCAAGTTCAACTTAATGAAGTTGGGGGTAGGCAGCTTCCAGGGGAGTTCTGCTTCCCAGCAATCTTCAGGCCCAGCCAGCAAAGAGGGCTGCACGGGTGGTCGGTGGGGAGCATTAACAGTAACACGTTTGTATTTGTCATCAGAATGGCGCCCCCGGGCTTAGGGGCAGTGCCCATGGCCACTCAATGGTGTATTTGTCATGTGGCCACTGACACAATCAATTGACCCCCTTACGCACCGGTGTTTATTAGCCATTGTATAAATATTTCACCCCTCCCCGGTTGACACATAATCTCTTCTTTGCTGCCTCTGACAAATGAACATTTCTCTGTAGACTCTTAAATGAGTATGTGTCACAGCTATGTCACTGATTAATTTTTTTACCACCATGAACAACGATGCACAGAAATGTAACTTATATTCATTTCCCAGCTTGAGTCTAGCTGTCTAAAAAATTCCACCAGCAGCTACGACTGACAGACAGCTATCCCAGCGCTTGGGCATGCTGACATGTGGTTGTGTGAGTGCCAGCTTGTTAATTACTGGCTTTCTCTTCCGGCCTGGCTGCTGAGTAACCAGCCACAAGGACCTTAATCACCGTTGGGGCCCGGAAGGGCCTGCTGCAGAGGGCTCCAGGGGCCATCACCCCAACCACACAGCTTTCTCCTCCGGGCACTGGCTGCCTTTCCCTGTGGGCCCTGGTTTGGAAATGTCCCTGAAGTCACCTCAGTAACACTCATTGCCACTTCACACTCTCCACCTACTGATGTGAGAGATCATGAGGGTAGGGACTGGGTCTTGTTGTGCTTAGCACAGGGTGGATGCGCTAGAAATATTTGCTGACAGGAAGTCAGCTAAGGTGCAATTACTGAACAATGTTCCGGCCACCTGACACGTGTTATTTATCTTTTCCATGAATATTCTCGGAGCACCTACTATGTGCTCGAAGCAAAGCAGACAGGTCTATGAGCTGGGCCCAGAGGAAGAGGTGGCCATTGCTTTAGGGGAAATAGAGTGTGTGATCAGAATGGAGCTGGAACCAGGCCCTGGAGCCTCCCACCAACCCCTCCCAGGCCCATCAGCGACTAAGGCCCCATTCCCGGCTGGCCTGGGTGAAATTCAGGTTCAGTGCAGGGGTACTAGAGATACTGAAGATGGGCACTAATTGCTCCCTGTTTCCAGCTGAGGTCTTGCCTTTAGCCACACAGCACTCATGGTGTGGTAGGGCTGGAAAGAGAGCCCACGATAACTGGCCCTCAGCCCATGCCGACTCACCATCTCAGCCTACTCCCCCAACCCTGCTGTCCTTGCCCTTGGCTGCCTCAGTGTCTCCTCCCCTGTGACTTTCCTTTCCTTCTTCTTGTTCTGCTCCTTCACAGTTTCCTCTTCCTAGCACGTTCTCAAGTCTCCTTGAGCTACAGAACTGATTCAGCATCCCTGACCCCATCCATCTGCTGCTTCCCCTCCCTGCCCACCCACCTACTGGCACTGGACTGAGCTTCAGCAGGTGTCTAGGCTGCTCCTACCCCACCCCACCCCGTCTCCATGCACCTGTGTCCCATCTCTGATGTCATAGAACCCTGGCTGGGAGCCAAGTGCATACACCTGGGGATACTTCCAGGCAATGGATTAACTATCTCATACCAGACTCTCCAGAGACTGACCTGAGAAATAAAGACCCCTCCTCCCCTAAGAATGGAGAGACTTTAAGTGGCTTTGGGAATGGGGGTTGCACATCCGAGGAACAGATATCAAGTGCTGATGCCATGTCCAAAGAGCCCATCTGAATCAGTCAAAAACACTGAAGGGCTGGGGATTTAGCTCAGTGGTTCCACCGCCTGCCTCACAAGCAAAAGGTCCCAAGTTCAATCCCCGGTACAAAAACAAAACAAAACAAAACAGTGATATCTGTGTTAAGGTAGAACTCATAGAATGGGAGTTGATAGGAATCCCAGTTTCTCTATTCACAGACTGTACATTCCGGAGCAAGTTGCTCTGTTTCTTCTTGTCTTGTATGCTGGGGATGCTAGGACTTACATCGCAGAGCTGTTGTGAGGTTAGAAAGACAGCAGTGTCCTTCCTTCCCTCTCTCCAAGGGTGTGACTCCAACCCATCTTGACCAATCATCTCCAGTGAGAGAACAGCTGGGCAAGTCATGTGCCTGTTGATCTCCCAGGCCACTTGCACCTAGGAGGTGGGCCCCCAAAGCCCCAGGGACTGGAAGAACTGTCTCTATCCTCCCCTCAGGGCTGAGTGGTATGGGAGGAGGGGCAGCTCCAGGGAAGGAGCACAAAGTGCTGGGGTTGTGGCTGCCCTGATTTGCCCCCACTCTTGGTCCTTGTTGTCCAAGCTGGGCAGCCCTGAACAAAGTGCATGTTTACACACATGGTCTCATGGAAAGTCACAAAACCACAAGTTAGGCATGACTGGCTTCCTTTCACTGCCAAAAAAATTGAAGCCCTCGGCCGGGGATTTAGCTCCAAGGCACCATACCTGCCTCACAAACGCAAGGTCCTGAGTTCAATCCCCCATACCAAAAAAAAAGCCCAAATAGCTTAAAATAACTGCAAAAAGTCACACAGAGCCACACAGAGCCAAAGCCAGGACTTGAACCTGGGTTTACCTCCTTCTCAGTGCAGGGCTCTTAACTACCACCCCATGCTCTCTCTCATGTCCCCTTCCAAGCCAACAGGGCATCCTCTGGAAGCAGCCAAGGTAGGTCCACCTGCTCTGTGGTGTCATCAGAGCCTGCCCCACCCCACCTGCTGGGCCTCAGTGGAGGGGGCATTGGGGCACAGGAAGAGCCACAGATGACGGCACAGAACTGGGTTGGGACAAGGAGGACAGCAGGCCTGGGGAAGGGGCAGATGCAAGAAAGAGGCTCACACAATTGGCCCTTCAGCTGGCAGGTTAGCTATGCCATCCTCCGTACATTTCCTTGTTCAAAATGGAGTGCTGAGGGCCGGAAATCAGGACAAAAGCACCACCCACAGCTCTAGGCTTGATGACTCAGATTCCACCTCCCACAGCCTTCTCCTGTGTGTGTTTCTGAATGTGTGTGCCTGCGTGTGCTCCCCGCCAGCGCGTGAGGCTGTCAGCTGTGTGAGTGTGTGTGTGTGTGTGAGTGCACGCACAGGGATGAGCACACATGTGCACATGCCTGAGCTATGTACATCTGTAGATCTGTGTCCAGGCCCCAGGCCTCAGCACATGATGACCAAGGTCAGTGATGATCATAGCATTAATAGCCGTGCTTCCTTGTTGAAAGGCACTGTGTAAGCACTGTTTGTGCATTACAGCATGGAATCTGTGCAACACCTTCAAAGTGAGTATTATCATGAATTTCAACTCAGAGAAGTTAAACTTCTTTTCCACAGTCACACAGCCAGGACATGATGGAGTTATCAGATGTCAAAAATCTGTGCCCAGTAAACGTGCTTGCCCGCTTCCCCCTCTAAAGAGTTAGGAGAGAGTCCTTTGTAGTCAGAAGCCAGCCAGGGTCCCTGAAGGAAAGGAGTCCTGGAGCCAGAGCCCTGGAGAAGGAAGAGAAAGGGGCAAAAAGCAGATAGACGCGTTAGCAGGAGGGGGCAGGGCAGCTGTCTCAGAACAGGTGTCAGAGAAGCTGTGACAGCCACTTAGAACCACAGTGGCAAGCCTCCTTTACATGGCGATTTGCATATATTTGCATGTATTTGCATCACCAAATCTGTGGAATCGGCCCTAATGGTCCCTGCCTCGGAAGACAGGCAGAAGCTGAAAGGGTGGGAGTGACAGGGAGGGCCTGGGGAATTCAGGAAGAGAACGAAGGAACAGGCAATGCTGTGAGCCCTGGCAGGCGCCGGGCACCGACAAGAGACAGTTTCTAGGGGGAAGAACGAAGACTCCCAAGTGCTGTTGGAAGCCTCCTCGCCCCCTGAGTCCATCACCTGGGGAAAGTAAGGAAGGGGGCTGGGAACACAGAAATTCCGGAGAGTCGAGGTGGGTTGAGGACCCAAGCAGTGGCTAAGCCTCTCCCTGCGTCTCCCGACTGGGGCCGCCTACTCGGCCGCCAGAGGTCAGTGGCTCGGTGTTGGGGCGTCATCTCGTGGACACATGCGGAAACGCACCCTCTCCTAATGGCTGTGGCCACAGCCCCTTCCTGCGGCGGCCCAACACACGTGTCCGCTTCTCCCACGGCCAGCAGGTGTCAGGAGGAACCCGGTCTGACATCCCGCGGTCTGAGCGGGCCTGGGGACTCGCGACCTTCAGGAAGAACACTGGCAGGGAGCTGTCCACAGGCTCGGGCCAGGCTAAGGCGAATGGAGTAATGCAGCTTAGTGGTGAAGAGTCAGAAAAACATGGCTGTGCCAGTCCCAGCAGTGTGACCTTGACAAATTGACCTTCGAATCCGTTTCCACATCTATAAAATGGAAGCGATCAAATTTACATGTGAGAATGATAGGAAACAAAATATGTTATGTTATGTGTGCTTACTGGCAAGTCAGGACTAAAATGAAGTGAGTTCTCCTCAGGCACAAAATTTAAGGACCTTGCACTTGTACAATCTTGCGATATCTGAAATTTGTGTCCTGGTCCTGTCCAGTACGTTAACACAATGCCTGGCACACTAGGAACACCGTATCAGCAGGAGCTGTTGTTGTCACAGTAGGTGCTCAGGCCTTGGGAAGTCAGCTCTAGCCCCACTCCCACCTAGGAAATCAGAAGCTAGATGTTTTTTGTTTTTTGCTTTTTTGGTACCAGAGATTGAACTCAGGACCTTGCTCTTGCGAGGCAGGCAGCGGAACCATTGAGCTAAATCCCTGGCCTGATCAGAGGCTAGATGTGAGGGGCCCCTTCCCAGAGTCAGGAATATAGAAGAAGTCACAGGCAGAGAGAAGTGGAAGGGCCCTGTTGGGTCACTTTATGGAACCTCTCAGACCCTCTGTGACCAACTGACAGCTAAGGAAAGGACTTGGTTATGTCTCGAAGAGGGTCATTGTGATAGGTTAGTGAGAGCTGGAAGTGGACTGCTTGGGCAGTCCTAAAGGGTAGTGAGAAGGAGAGTCCCAGCGTGCAAAGCTCAAAGCAGTACACCGTGGCATCAGCTTTGTCTCAACGTGAAGGTAGCCTGAAGGGGATGGATATTCCCTGACTCCCAGAGAAGAATGAATGGGTTGTTTGGTTGGTCAGGAGTTCAAAGGACCAAGACCGAAGGTGGACCAGGAAAAGGACTAAGTGGATCAGCAAAGAGGTAGACAGATGACTTCTGGGAGTGGGTACCGAGTAGGCAAACTTCTGGGTCTCAAGTAAACACCTGGCAGAGTAACCACTGCCAGGACAGGGCCTCTCAACAAGCTGGCACAGAGGTTCATCTAGTGAGTCTTTCTCCAAATGCCTGCACAATGGCCTTTGGAGATAGTGGTCATGGTGCCAGGCGTGGAGGCTCTGTGCATGCCCAATAGCACTGGCTCCCTCTCCCCTGGACTGAGCTAGATCTACTACTCTGACTGCTCAAGCTCCCAAGAGTGAGACAGATGCTGAGCCCTTACTGTGGCTGTCTTCCTCAGAAGGCCATCCGAGATTCTGGAGGCAGATAGCTTACCCTGAACCTCCTCTTTTAACCTTGCAGGGAACAGTGAATTGTCCTCAATAAATCAATCCTTTTCTGGATTTGGGCTCATCTTCCTGGTCCACAATGCTTCTCCCAAAGGTACAATAATGGAATCATCCAAGACTTCCATAATTTCAACTCTCATTTTTAGGTCTTTGATCCATTTTAACTTTTTTGTGTGTGTGTGTACCGGGGATCGAACTGGGGTCTTTGCTCTTGCGCAGCACATTTTAACTTTTTGTATATGGTGTGAGGTAATGTGATAGTGATCACTGGACTCATTGGTCTAACTTGGTTGTACCTCATCTCCCAAAGGCAGCCTGGCAGAACAGTAGGGCAGCCTGTTGAGTGCTCAGTGAAGATGCTGGCAAGAACATGGTACCTGTGGGTTGAGGCCCTGAACTCTGTGTTCCGGTATTGTTTTTGAACAATATGCATAAAAACTGCAGGTCTCAGAGTCAAATGTGGAAGCAGAAATGGCTCATCTCATGCTCTTGTCCCCAAAACTTCCAGGTCTGCCAGTTACAAGTACTAGTTTCCAAGGAGGTAAACCTTATACCAGAGAACACAGTATGCTTTCTACTAACCTGGAAGCTAGCAGTGGCACCTGGCCACCTTAAGCTCCTCATGCCAGTGGATCAATAGACAAAGAGGGATATTACTGTACTGGCCAGGGACATTGATCCTGACAGCCAGGATGAATCCAGGCGGTGGATGCAATGCATGTAGGTACAGTGAGGGCTGTCTCTGGGCCCGGCCAGGGAATTCACTGGGGCATCTCTTAGAATTCTCACTGTGTCACCTCACCAGGCAAATAGCCCAGATCTGCAAAGGGCTGGTTGAGGGTAAGGGGAGGAGGGAGATAATATCACTGATGGGCTCAGAGCACGTGACAGCGGTGGGACTGTGGCTTGCTTCATTGCCCTCCAGCACTAGACAGGGGCTGTGCTCTCACAGATCTTTCTTTAAGATCACATCTGGCCCAATCTTGAGGGGGATCTGTTTACAGGGGACTATACCTCCCCTCTTGGAGAAAGAGAGATGATAACTTTGTTATCACAGGGGGAAGAAAAAAAGGAAAGTCAAATTGTGGTATAGACATCAGATATAGTGGCAGGGCACAAGCGACACTAGGCAGGGGCTGTCACAAATCTTTCTTCTCGAATGCCTGGACTACCTCCTCATTCTCTCTGAAGCTGCTCCTCCACTTTCAGGCTTAGCTGAAATGCTACATAGCATATAGGGGAATCTGGTTCCCAAGTGCCACCAAGGGCTGGATGATGTTTACTCCTTGGGGTGAAACTTGACCCGAAGAAGGCAGACGGTGAATGGGAGCAGTGGATCACCCGAAGGTGTGCCTCCTCCTTGCCTCCTGAAGAAGCCTCACACCAAGGCCGAGGGACATACCTGCCAAGTCGCCTGAAGTAGCCCTCTGAGGCTTAGGTGGAGCAGGCTAGGACAGGGCGATGTGGCACTATCTTGTCTTGCAACTTTCTTTTTCCTTATCCTCAGTTCCCTGGGCTTCCATCCAAATCCTGGCCATAGGCTCTGCTGCTAGAAGGCCCGACTAAGACAGAGGAAAGTTTCCTGAGGTTTATCTCCCTGTCTGCATCCCATGCTGTGGTCTCTGCAGGAACCTGAGTTTGACTGCTCCAGCATTTCTGAAGAAGCCAAAGAAATAGAAGTCCTACTGGGCAGGAGTGGACGAGCTATATTCCAGATGGAGGAGAAAGTGGGTGGGCTTTGAGAGATGAGGGAAGACAGGAAAAACAGGGCCAGGAAGCTGGTAAGGAAGTGAGAGGGTAGGAAGTTAAGTCCCAGTAAAAGTTGTCCCCCGTAAATGGGTCAATGCAGGGCATTTCCTAGGCAGGAGCAATTATATTCTGGAGGTGAAGAGGGAGGACAACATTCCCTTCTCCCCTTGAGTGAACACCATCATCCATTTTTGGCTGGGGATGGGTTTCTCCAAGTCCCCTCAGGCCTAGTATTCCTGACTCCCAGATCCTGGACCGTGACCATATCATGAATGAGCCGATGGTGCTGGGACAGGAGGAGACAGTGCCCGGCAGAAGGTCCAGAGTGGCACAGCAGCGCCTGCTCCCTTCTTCAAAGCCAAGAGGAGCTGGGCTGGAGCTAAGGGAACCCCTCCTAGCCTAGGGTTCTGTTATGGTCTAATGTTTGTGCCACCTCCAAAATTCATGTTGAAACTTAATCACCAGTGTAGTCATATGAAGAAATGGGGCCTTTAGGAGGTGGTTAGGAATGGATTAGTGCCTCATAAAGGGCTTGTGGGCTTGAGTTTGCCCCTCTGTCACCTCTTCCATGTGAGGACTCAGTGTTTGTCCCCCTAGAGGTCACAGCTATCATCTTGGAAGCAGAGGGAAATAACCACTAGACACTGAACCTGCCGAGGTTCTTGGACTGTGAGAAAGATAGCACCATTGTTTGTAAATTACCAAGTCTGAGGGATTTTGTTATAGCAGCACAATCAGACTAAAACAGTTCTCCACCCTTTGGCAACCCCCAATGCCCTGGCTGATAATCCCATCTCCAGATCACAGTATCATACACAGTGGTGCTCTGTGCTCCAAGAAGATCTAGCCCAGTGTCAGTCTTGTGGTTTATGGGGAGGTAGGGCCAGAGACTGAGCAAAGAGACCAAATGTCCCTAATAAGGTCCCTGAACCCACCAGAGCTTTCATTCCCCTGCCTTTGGATTGGGGATAGGGGGGAGCAACCAGGCTGGGGCACAAATCCTGGCTTAAATCTCCTTCCTGGAATCATCCTGGTCACTCTTCTGCCTCCAGGAAAAGCCCCTTCCACATTTTCAAGGTAGAAAGAAAGGAAGAGGAGATGCAGGGCCTGAGCCCTAGGAAGCCTAGGAAGTCAACAGTGTGCTGGGCCTGGTCAGGATACTGAAATGGGATTAAGGGGATTTGACAGGATTGGTCACATTCAGGGTGGTATGGCCACAAAGTGACTGTCTTTGATAGAGCTGGGTGCACGGTATTTTCCTGGGGAGGGGTTTGTGTCTGTCATCAGATTCTCAAAAAGATTTAAGATCTGCCTGTGCTGTCTGATATGGTAGCCAGTAGCCACATGAGGCTCGTCAATTACAACTGAATAAAATGAAAAGGTCAGTGTTTCTGGCTCACATTTCAATGTGCCAGTGACCACATGTGGCTACTGGTTACCATACTGGACAGTACAGATGTGGAACACGCCTGCCATTGCTCTATTGGACAGCACTGCCCATTAGCCTTATGCATAGAAAAACTGTGTCCCAAAGGGGAATGACTTGCCCAAGACCCCAAGGGGATTTAATGGTAGCTGTAATATTAGCTGCCCTTTATAAAATGCCTTGCAGTAAAACTGCATTAAAATATCTTCTTATAAATGCAGTTCACAACAGCCAGGGTGGCAGGAGACAGGGCCCACTTGTGACACAGGGATGTGGGAAGGGAAGTGTTGTGTTGGCTCCTCCCCCTCCCCAAGACTGCCCCAGCCCTGCAGGATAAAGGAGGCTTAGAGACCTGGCACTCCCTCCCCTCCCCCATGATGACTTCAGCCTCACAAAAATGTGAGGTCAGCGGGGAGAGGCAGGGTGGACCATAGCTGTAGTGGGGGGGGGGGGGCGGCAGCCCTCAGGCCATAGGAATTGGGGGTGAGGAAAGTATACTGATCCGAACTAGTCTCTATGCCTCCATTCTCTTAAAATTCAAACCTGAATCCTAACCAACAGCTAAAGGGCCTGTATCCTGTATGCCTGGTCCTGGAAGTCTCTTCCTTCTCAGCTTGCTTCAAGTCCCCAGTCTCTTTGCTACTTCCAGGCTTTCCACTCAAGTTTCCCACACTTGAAACACCCTCCCAGTCCTGCTTAATCCTCTCCCCCCATCTTTCTGAACTCCAGCAGAGATTTCTAGAGAAGCCTTCCCAGACCTGAGGCCCGGTCAGGTGCCTCTGTTATATGTTCCTATCTGAGGGTTCTTTGTTAAATGTCCCCTTCCCTAGCAGGTCATGCTTCCCAGAGCCTGTTGTGAAGGCTGGCTGATATGGCTCTAAACCTTTGAGCATAGTTGGCCCAGGAGAGATGCTCTATAAAAATTGAGAAAGGGCCGGGATTTAGCTCAGTGGTGCTGTGCCTGCCTCACAACCACAAGGTCCTGAGTTCAATCCCCGGTACCACACAAAAAAAAAAATATTGAGAAAAATGAAATGATTGAGTGAGAGTGCTCCTTCCTGCAAGACACAGGCCCCTCAGGGCCCCACCCCCCTCCCACCCCGCTAGTGCAGTGGCCCGTGACTATGCCCTTTTCCAACCAGAGGGTGATGGCAGGGGAAGGTGTGTGGCCTGGAGGCCACTGAGGAAGACAAAGGTGATCAGGAGTTGTAGGCATGACAGGAAATTGGATACAAATAACAAAAGTGGTGGAAGTGATAAGATGACAAAGAGGAATCTTGGGAGATGGTAAAAATACAACAAGGAGTGCAACGTGGTTTAACTGGGTAATAAGATGCCACAAGCTAGACAAACGTGGGAGGCACATGCCTGTAATCCTAGCTACTGGGGAGGCTGAGACAGGAGAGTTGTAAATTTAAGCCTAGCCCAGGCAACCTAGAGAGGCTCTATCTCAAGAAACTTTTTTTTTTTTTTTGGTACCGGGGGTCGAACTCGGGACCTTGAGCTTGTGAGGCAGGCGCCGGAACCACTGAGCTAAATCCCGGGCCCTCAAAATCTTTATAAAGAAAAGAAAAGAAAAAGAGCTGGGGATGTAGCTCAGGGCTCCCTGGGTTCGATCTGAGTACTATAAAACAAATAAAAAGATACTATGATCGATTGAAAACAGGCACTAGGATATGCCAGGGTGATGGGGTCGTAGGCAAGCTGGATACATTCCAGAGTTACCATGGAAGTGACTGGCAAAAATAGTAACAAGGAATGGGAAACTCTTATTGAGCACTTACAGTGCGTCACCCCTTTCCACATATTACCCATATATTTCCATGGATTAATGTTCACAACAATCCTGTCAGCATTTCCATTTTGCAGTAAAGGAAACTGAGGTACAGACCTAGGTACCCTGTTCGGGTCTCATAGCAGTTGAAAGTAGAGTCAGGGCTTTACTGTAGTCAGTCTCTCTCTCTCTCTGTTTCTCTCTCTTCCCTTTCTCCCTCCCTCTCTCCCTTCCTCCCTCCCTTTCACTCTTTCCCTGCATTCCCTCCCTTTCCCTCTACTTCTCTTGTATGGGGGATTGAGCCCAGAAGCATTCAACCATGGCCTTTGTTTTTGTTTTTGTTTTTTTTTCTCTTTGAGACAGGATCTTGCTTGTAGTCAGGACTGGAACTTTTGATCCTCCTGGCTCAGCCTCCTGAGTAGATAGTATTACTGTTGTGAACCACGACACCCACCTTCAAGATTCTGCTCTTGATTACTACAAGCTACTTTGTGACCAATAGAAGTCATACATATTTTCACATCATAGTACAATATTGCAGATCTTTTGAAATATCATGAACAAAGTAGCTTCCAAAGTGGTTGTGTCTCAGGAGTCTACTGTCTGGATGGGAAGCAAAGACAGACATGGAAGGAAGTGTTGGAAAATTCCCTTTGACTAGGTCTATCCCTTCCCCTGTTCATTAGTGTCCCTTTTGGGCCACGTTTGAGGGTTAAGATTAAAGATGAACTAATCGCATGTTCCTTCTTTCATGACTGCAAAATGCCAGAGAGGCCCAATCAAACCACACAATAAAGAGCATTGGAGAAAGACTGGGCTGGTATGGGAAAAGCTCTGGAGAGATAAGATGAGTGGTGAGTGAGATGTGCCAGATGACTGAAGTTTGTGAGTAGCAAAAGTTACGAGGTCCTTTTTTTTTTTTTTTTTTTTTTGGTACTGGGGATTGAACTTGGGTTCTTGCACTTGTGCAGCAGGCGGCGAAACCGCTGAGCTAAATCCCCGGCCCATATGAGGTCCTTTGAGAGATGAAACTTTGGGAATCTGTTTATTCTTTTTGGTTCCTGCATTGTACCTTATTTTTCTATTGCAGCTCCTTGCATACACTGTCCTGTGGGCCTGGAACTTCTATCTGGGTTACACAGAGCCGGCAGATTGGACAGTGAAGGTCAATAATACAGTCTTTCCATCCAGGGTGAACTGAGTCTGTGGCCTTCCAGAGCTGCAGTTTGGAGGGAGTCTCATCATCTACTAGGCCTTGAGGGAGCCCTAGAAGGCAGGTCCAAAGAAAAAGCAGCTCAGCTTCCATGACCAGCTGTGGCCATCCCTACAGTGACCGAGTTCCCTCAGCCAGCCTGACATTGCGGATGCTGCTGCAAGGATGACGCTGATGATACTGGATGGTGAGGATGAGAGGGTCTGACCAAGGAGCAGGAACCCAACATAGCCTCCAAGGGATACTAGTTACCCACCCAGTCTCCTCTCTTCCCTGTGACCTGGTTCATTCCTGCTCCCCCTGCCCCTTCTCTAGATTGCCTTCAGCTCTTTCAGGACCTGTTGTGACCATTCTCAGATCACTAGCCCTTCCCTGCCCCAATCATCTTGTAGTCTTACATCCCACAAAGGTACTCTCCCTCCTCCAGGGAGTGTGCCCTGCACTGCAGCTCCACGGAGAGGAGCGTGGGGAAAGACCCCTTGTACACCTTCTCAGAGGCACCGGGGCTTTTTTCCTCTGGAGCCTGGGATGCCTCGACCCCTGTCTTTGCTATCATTCATTTCTATCTTAACCTGTTTTTGACCTTGCAAAGGCTGAGAATGAAAATGGAGAAGACTTGTGCCTCCCAGGGCAGAGCCTGAAGCCCAGGGACACTCCCTCTTCCAGCCCCAGTGACCCTAGAATCAAAGGGTTCTCTTTGCCCCGCTGTTCCTGGGCTATAGGGATCCCCTTGAATCTTCCCTATGCCCTCAGTGACAGATTATGGGAGCAGAGAGAGACAGACAGACTGATACAGAGGCACAGACAGAAGACAGATAAACACACAGAGAAAACCACAAAGAGATTTAGAGGGAAGAAAGACAGAACTGAACTCAGAGGAAAATACAAACAGACAAACAGGAAGAGAGACAGAGAAATAGAGATGGAGAGAAACCCAGAAAGGGGGCCAGGGAGGAAGAGAAGGAAGATGCGACTTAAGGGCCAAAAGCCTCCACCCACCCCGTATCAGCACGAGAGAAGGAAGTGAGTCTGAAGGAGGGAGCCAGGTCTCCCCCTCTGCGGCTTGGTCCTGACCCTTTGGCCCTGGTTTCCCTAACCTGCACCAATGACCTTAGAAAGGGAAAAAATTATATTATTTTCACTAATCTCTACCGGGGATGGGTGGAATTTAATATTTCCTTCAAATATGACAATAGTAACAAACCAGGCCGGGGATTTAGCTCAGTGGTTCCTGTGCCTGTGGATCTCCAGTACCAAAAACAAAGGAAAGAAAGAAAGACAATATTAGCTATAACTGTAGCTTTGGGACCAGCAGAAGTCATATGTATTTTCACATCATAGTACAATATTGCAGATCTTTTGAAATATCATTTATGCTCATCACTACTTGAAAATTATGTGAGGTATCAACCTAACACTAGATCTTATTTAAAGCATTAGTTTAGGGCCAGGGATTTAGCTCAGTGGTTCTGCCTCCTGCCTCAAAAGAGCAATGTCCTGAGTTCAATCCCTGGTACCACCAAAAAAAACCCCCAAACAAATAAAGCATTAATTTAAAAAACACATATATTCTAAATCACATTAAAAGGTTTTATAACTTTATTATAATACAATTGGTTTCTTTTATAATCTTATATATTTTATTTTACACATTTTAAAACATTATTGGGAGACAGGGTCCCTATGCTTTACTTGGTTACCAATAAGAAACAGAACCAGAAAGGTTCAGAGCTCCTACATCTAACCAGAACACCCCGAAGCACCCACCTTTGCAAACCCCAGTACCCTGGGCTTTCTTCTGCTACTCCCCTCCCTTGTTTGGTTAGTCCTCCAATGAGAAGCTGCCAGAGCAGGATGAGATGTGCTAGGGTCTGATCTGGGGAAATGCCTCTAAGTCTGGGCTGTGAGTTGTGAGGGAGAGAGGGTGAAGGAAAGTTGGGAGGAAGCATCCTAGACCACCATGTAATCAGGGAAAGTTCAGCATGACCACCAGGACATTTTTGAACTAAAGTCAGCCCACAGAGTACCTCCCAGGAGTGGGTCTGCCCTCAGATTTCTGATGAGCTCTGTCATTGGCTTGGAGGGCCCAGTGGGAAGCTGTTAGAGCAGGAACTGATGGTTTCAGAGGGAAGCAGGTGGGCCTTAAGAAGCGTCACTCCCTATAGCTGAAGTTTCCTGAGAAGCATTCTCACCATCTCCATAGTTGCCCAACTAGGAAAAAAAGGACAGAGTCCTCCTCCCCATGGCCCTGTCCAGGGCTCTAGGTGGCTAGGAAAGTTGGCCATTTTCTAACTGCTGGGGCTTAAGCAAGTTATTTAATGTTCCCTATGTCCTTGTCTGTAAAATGGAGGTGATAAAATTCCCTATCTTATGAAGGTCTTGTGAGGATTCATTGAAGTTTGCAAAAGCAATGTTGGCACAGGACCTGGGACATAGGTAGCTCTCAATAACTGGCAGATATTATTATGGACATTTTAATTATTAATTATTATCCTTCTCTTTCTCAAAGGAAAGGCCCTGGGGAAGAGGCTGAGGATGACAGTCCTTTCCAGAGCTGGGACAGCAGGGGACCCACTTCCCCACACTCCCCTGAGGGGCAGGGGGTCTTCCCCTAGCTACTGACAGTTCCTTTGGCTGCTGACTCACAGCCAACTTCCTTTCATACAAACAGGAAAACACAGCCGCCACCCCCCCCACCCCCCCCACACACAGCGAAACACTGGCTCTGCTCTGAGGGGAAGTGCCTCGGCCTTAGGGAACAGGCTCCAGGGCCGGCTCCGGCAAATGGCAAATGAAATGGGGGAGGGGAGAGGAGCCTTTTTCTCCTCAGCTCCCCCTACCCCAGCAACTTGCGTGAGGGCAAGGGCGGCTTGCTTACTCTTTGTTTGCCTTATTCCCAAGTCGGCAACCCCTAACCTTGGTTTGGAAGTTTGGAAGTGGGGCACTCATTGGCCTTCATCTCTTGGAAGAAACTTAGGGCCGTTGGGGAGGCGGAAGCGGATGAGGAGTCTCTGTGCTTGCTCACCCCGGGCCAGATCTCAGTGATCCAGAGCGAGGAGAGGGTCTTCAGCTCGGAAGGCTGTGCCTATCTCTGACTTCTGAATGTCCGGCTTCCGCCTCCCATCTAACTGGATGCCAGCGTCCAGCCATCCTGCTGGACGCGGGGGAGAAGCCCCATTTTACCGGTAAGGAGATAGGTAGGCCCTGACCCTTTCCCCTTCCCTGTGGCAGGAATGCAGGACTTGCAAAGGTCTCTGTCCCCATCTCTGTTCTGGTCCCTGCCTTTTTGTCCCTCTCCCTAAAGCTGTCTCAGCCCCTGACTGTGTTCCGGTCCTTTTCTAGCTCGACGAGAGGACAGAGCCTGGCAGCCCCTGAGATAAGTGTGGCTGTTGGGTAAGGAGCCCAAACCACCTGAAGGCCCGCGCTAGCACAAGGAGTGGCCGGGGGCCCCCGCGGAGGGAGCCGGCGGGGCGGGGCGGGGCCGCGCCAACGGGGGCGGGCTGCGGGGGGCGGGGCCGGCGCGGCCGGACTGGGGCTCGGACGGCGCGGCGGGCACCGGGGAGCAACGCGGCCGCGCAGCAAGGTGAGGACCCCCCGCGCCCCGGGGCCCTTGCCGCCCAGACTCCACCCCATCACCCGGGTCCAGGGCCTCCGTGGGTTCCCGGCCCCCATCCGCGTGGGCAGCCTCCCCTGCCCCTGTCCCCTTCCTCGCCGCGACCCGCCCTTCCCTCTCGTCTTTGCTCCCTCCCTCCTTGCCCGCTCCTGGGCGCCGGAGCTGCCCCGCCCGCCCCGCCCCCTCCCCCAGTCCGCGAGCACCTCCCGGCTAGCGGCTCTGCACCCTGGCCCTGGCTTGGGCATAGGACCCAGCCAGAGAGAGTCGGAGGGAGGCCAGAACTGATGCTGGGACAGTCGGGGACCAAGTAGCAGAGCAACAAGGACAGGGAGCAACTGGGAGAGAGCTGCGCAGGCAGAAGCAGAGCCAGAAACCCAGGGTCAGAGGTGGTCAGAAACATCGATAGCCCTGAAGACCTAGTTAGAACTGAACAGAGAGGCAATGAGGGAGAGCAGAATAAAGTGGGACAAGGAGAAGGACAAAGACAGATTTAGAGGTAGAGATGAAGACACAGTGGGATCGGGCCAAGGACAAGGCAAAGATAAAACTCTGGGGAGACAGAGATAAATCAAGGGAATAGATCAGGCTGCCCAATGGGATTTAGAGACCTGAGCCCAAGGTCATGGGCAGGGAAAAGGTGGGCTCAGAAAAGGAAGGCTTGGGGAAAGCGGGTGTGTGTGGGTGTGTGCCGAGTGGCTACAGGGTGTGTGTGTACACACATGCAGGGTGGGTGGAGGATGGAGAAAAACCCTGGTCTGCCCCTGGCCTCTGATCCCTCATCTCTCTGGCCCAGTTCTCCTCCCACTCCTATCCCCTAAGTGGCGCCTGTCCAGGCCCAGACCCCACACACTGGGACTGGTTAGAGCCCTCTGAGGAGCTTGACCAAAGCAGGCAGGATGTGGGGGTGGCCAGGCTAAAGGGACAGGAAGGAAGTCTGAGGAGAGACAATAGGTGGAAGGGGAGGAGGAACTGGGAATGACCAGGATTAGGATGTCCAGCCTGAGCCTCAGCTCTGGAAACCAGTGGGAGTGGGGTCACTACCTCCTTCCCCCTACTTAGCCTGTCCCTCTCCCCACCTTGTGCCACAGCTGGATCTGGCCACCTCAATGCTCTGCCTCCCCTCCTTCTCACCCCACCCTCCCTGCCCAGCAGGGTTCTAGCATCTTGTCCCAAGCCTACTCACTTGAATGTGCAGTAGGCAGGGGCAGAGTTTTGACCCAGATGCAGGGAGGGCAGGCACTTGGAGGCCAACACTAGCATCACTTGCTGTGATGCCCCTCCCTGGGCCTCAGTTTCCTCAGCTGCACACAAAGAGACTGTCTTGTAAGGAGAAAGTTCTTTCTAATATTCTAGGAAGGCTCTGCCTCTAGATCGCAGGCCTTTGGGCATTTTCTTTGGAGGAAGACTGGAAGCTGGTATACCCTGTCCAGGGCTCACACTTTGTGCTAGGGAGGGGGAATCTCAGCCTGAGCCCTCCCTTCACCCTGCCCCTCCCCCCAGCAATGGCCTGAGCCCCCATGGCTGCCCCTCAGGACCTGGACATCACTGTGTGGCTGGCCAAGGTACATCTGGAGCAGTATGCAGACACGTTCCGGCAGCATGGCCTGGCTACCGCAGGTGCAGCCCAAGGCCTGGGCCACCAGGAGCTGAAGCAGTTGGGCATCAGCGCCACAGGGCACCGGAAACGCATTCTGCGCCTGCTGCAGGCAGGCACTGCGGAGGACTCCCTGGATCCCAAATTGGATAGTACCATGGAGCCACCCCACAACCCAGACCCCCAGTCCCAGCCTTCCAAGCCCATACCCAAGCCCAGGACAGTGTTTAGTGGGCTCAGTGGTCCTACTGCCCCCCAGAGGCCTGGGCTGAACCCAACCTTCTGGGCACCAGAAGTGCCCAGAAGCTCAGAGTCCAGCTCAAGTTCGCCTCCTCTTCCTACATCCTCTACCGAGCAGCTATCAACCTTAAATACCATGGAGATGATGCCCAATACCATCTACTTTGGCCTAGACGTAAGAGGGGGGCCACAGGCAGCTCAGGACAAGTGAGTAGGGTTGGTTCCCTAGGGATCTGATGCTGGGGCGGAAGAGGGGGTTGGGGAAGAAGGGCACGAGGGAAGTTCTTCCTCCTCTCTCCCTTAGTAACCAATGCACCTTCCTCCTCAGGGGTCCAGACAACTCCCAGACAGCTGCTCCCACCCTTGCCCCCACCCCTACCCTCAGGCCCACAACAGGAACAGGTATGTGGGTTATCCTGGGCTCAGGAGAGGGCTAGTGGCTGCCGACTTCAGACCTGATATCCTCTTCCCTCCCTCCTCCCCCTCTGCCCCTGCCAGTGCACATCATGGATCCTGGTTGCCTGTACTATGGTGTCCAGCCTGTGGGGGTCTCAGGCACCCCTGACAGAAGAGAAGGCAGAGGTGTCTGTCAGGACAGGGCTGAACACAGGTGAGTGCTCAAGAGGACCATGATGGGAGCACAGGAGAAGCTTGAGGAGCAGTTGAGCTGGCAGTGCCATGTGTACAACTCATTGAATGTACACCGAGTGTCCGCTATGTGCCAGCCAAGCACTGAAGATACAAGATGACTATAACAGACCCAGCGCTGCCCCAGGCAGGGTGTGACCAGTGGGGCAGACAGGACACAAAACAAGTAGACAACAAATAAATACATAATTAAAATTAGAAGATATTTCCTTCTTTCACTCAGCAGATACTTGCTGAGCAACTGTTACATGCCAGAAGTAGATGCTTAGGAGAGATCTGTATACATAGCAATCCCCGCGCTTGTGGGGGAGATAGTTAATACACATAAGTTATGTCTTACAGCATGTTAAATGGTGTAAGTACCACGGAAAAAAACAAGAGCAGAGTAAGAGAGCTGGGAGACAAAGTGAGGGAACTGCTGTTTTTCATTAAGGGCTATTGGAAAATTAAGACGATATTTGAGCAAAAACTTGAAGGAGTTGAAGGAATTAGCCATGTAGATTTTTAGGGGAAGACTTTCCCAGGGAGGGGGAGGACTCAAGGAGGACGTGTGCCAGGGGGTGCTGGAGCACAGAGGAGGCGGCAGCCTGGCTGGGGCAGGTGAGTGTGCTGGGTATAGTGGGAGAGATCATGTCAGGGAGGTTAAAGGTTTACCTTATAGGGACTTTCACTTTTAGTCTAAGTGAAATGGGGAGCCGTTGGAGGGTCTTTGACTTGTTGCTGTGTTGGGAATGGTGTGTAGAAGGAAGGACCAGAGACCAGTTAGGAGGTCATTGCGGTAATGTAGGTGAGAGGTCTCAGTATAGGAATGGGAAATGGAGATGCTGAGAAGTGGCTATATTTTGAGGGTAAACTGTCAAATTAACTTGGGGTGTGAGAAGAAAACAGCAGTTGAGAATGACTTTGAGAGCTTTAGTTTGAGCCTGTGCTGTCCTGTAATGGCAACCACTAACCACAAGTGACTTCTGAGCATATGAAATGTGGCCAGTATTGAGATGTGCTGTATGTGAAAACCTACCAGATTCTGAAGACTTAGTAACAAAAGAAATACTGAATGAGTATAGCAATAGATGCAGATATTAATGATCTTGGTAACTTTTATATTGGTTACATGCTAAAATATTGATGTTTTGGATATATTGGGTGAAATAAAATATCCTACTAAAATTAATTACACCTGCTTTTTAAAAGTTTTTAATGCCACTACTAGAAAGTTTAAAATTACATGTTGGTTTACATTGATTTATGTTGGACAGAACTGTTTTGAGCAACTGAGAGTTCACGGAGTTGCCGTGGTCTGAGATGAGGAAGACTGCATAAAGTAGGTGGGAGGTGGGGGTTAGATTAGTTCTTTTGAACCTGTTGATTTTGGTTGTTTTTGTTTTTTGATACTGGGGATCAAACTCAGGACCTTGTGCTTGCAAGGCAGGCGCCAGAACCACTGAGCTAAATCCCCAGCCCAGAACCTGTTGATTTTGAAGTGCGTATTGTATTCAAAAGAGCTGGTCAGGGCTGGGGATTTAGCTCAGTGGCATCACTGCCTGCTTCGCAAGTGCAAGGTCCTGAGTTCGATCCCCAGTACTGCAAAAACAAAACAAAACAAAAACAAAAAACAAAAGAGCTGATCAATAGACCATTGGCTATACATGTTGAGAGTTTGGGGGAGAGGCCTAAGCTGGGGCATCTAGATGGGTGTACCTAACTAGGAATGAGTATGAACTGAGACAAGAACCAAGATCAGAGCCCCGGTAACTTCTCATATAGAGAGGTTAGGGAGAAGAGGAAGAATCAGTAAAAGAGACAGAAAAAAAGAAGAGGCTAATGAAGGAAAAAGAAAACCAGAAGAGTATGACATCATAAGAGCCAAAGGAAGAAAGTGCAAAAGGAGGAAGGAGAGGCTGGCTGTGCTCTGTGCTGCCCAGAGGGCTGCTGCTGAGTAAGAGAGGGCTGACAGTTGACTTCTGGAACTGGCAATGTGGAAGTCACTGGGGACTTTGACAAGGGCAAAGTGTAGTGGTCCCTGGGAGTGAAAGCCTGATCAGAGTGGGTTTCCAAGAGAATAGAAGGAGAAGAGATAGAAATACATAAACAACATTGTTGAGTTTTTCTGCAGAGAAAAGCAGAGAGTTGGAATGATTGTTGATGGAGGAAGTGGAGCCAAGTAGATTTTCTTTTTATAGGATGTAATGTCATGTATGTTTATAAGTGAATGGGAATGATCTGGTGGAGAGGGACAATTAGCTACACAGGGAGAGAGAAGGTCTGGAATGATGTCTTTGTAGGTGAGAGAAGTAGGAGTAGTAAGAGCACAGAGGAGGGTCTGGTTTTAGACAGAAATTTTTATCACCATCACAGGAGGAAGCCAGAGTATGTGCATGAAACTGGGTAGA